GCCCTTAAGCTTCCTTCTTTGAATTGTAGATATATATATATATATATATATAGAATTAGGTCAGAAATCGTGTCGTGGTTGCTTTCCAAGAAGATATTGAACCAAATTTCTTGAGCTTGGAATGCCTTGTGCGATTGCACATGCCAAACAGTTTGCTCTCTGGATTTCAGTTTTTGGGTGTTGGATTGCACCATTAAGGGCTTCCCATTGAAAGCCTCCAAGTTCTCCCCTCAAATCAATTTGGTCCACGTATCGTCCTCTTGGTTTCGCTTGAGTCCCTTCTTAACTACATCCTTAGTCTTCATCTTTCAACCTTCACAATTTGGTCATCATCATACACAATTGATCCGTAATTGATTCGATGCAAGATTCGAAAGTTTGCAGTTAAGTTCCTAAACTTTCTGTGTGTTAGATTTAGTTCCTGAAAGGCCGAAACTTGTGAATCTCCTCAGGTTGCCCTCTTAATACTTCTATTGATTAATTGCAATTCGGTTGATCATCAATTGTTCCGAATCAATTCTAATTTAAGCTCCAAAATGCCTTTCTAATTCAATGCATTCAAGTCGAGATTTTACCTACAATTGACCTAATTTTACTTAAATTAGGTAGATATTCACTCAATGAACAATAAATAATCAAGTTTCGAAGGTCCAATTAAGTGTGTACAATGTACTTATTAGTTACAATAGGCTGGTTGAACTACAATAGGTACAATATGGTCAGCAAATGACCCTATGGCCCTCTTACATAAAAATGAAACAATTCCGATTTTTGGTCCACAAAATACTTCATGTAAACTATTTGACATTATGTAGCGAATCAAGAGAATTATGCTTGTTCACATAAACTGATTTTAATATATATATGATCGAAAATAAAAAGAAGAAAAGGAGAGTTCTACAAAAGGAGAAACCAGTAGTTATGTAAGTAGTTTGTTTTTCACCTACAGTGAACTACTTTTAGGGTGTGTTTGATGGATATTATTTTGGAAGAATATATTTTCGAATAGTAGATTGATGGAGAATGTGTGGTTGAAAAAGAAGGAAAAGTTATTGATGTGATGGAAAATATTATTTTAATAAAGAATGTGTGGTTGAAAATAAGTAGAAGAATGAGAATGAAAATTTTAATGGGTACCAAACATGGGCTAAATATGACTCACTATTTTGGTATATGGGCCCAAACCTCGAATTTTCAAAGTATTGTTTGGCTACTGCCTAATGTTCTGTGGTGAAAAGGGGCTTTGATGAAAGGTGCGGGGATCATTTAGATCATGTTTGGCCTCAATTAAATTAAAATTTATTTTTATATCTTTTCTTATCAATCGCAAATTTTTTAATAAAATAATATTATATGTAAACCTAAAAATCTGTTCTTCCTTTTTAATGACATATTTTTCAAAAAATTACTATTCTCATCATTATAATTTGGAAAAATGGAGCGAAGTGCTTACCATGTTAATTTAAGGACAAGAATGAGTAATTAGTCAAATTAAATTCACTCTTCTTGTACGAGGCCCAAAAATAAGTCATTAATGAGGACAAGATTTAATTATTGATATTCCTATTTAGACTGTCATTTAGAAATTAGATAGTGACCTATTAATGAGTCTAAAAGCTATTTGAAAAGCTTTTGATGTATCCAACTCAAATTGCCTTTCTTTCTGCTTATCTTTATACGTAGATTCCCCGAGCAAATATCAAGTATAAAACATATTAATAGAATTTTTTATCCAGTCTAATGGACTATACCAGCTATTCAAGTCATAATTCCAAACTAATGATAACAATTAAACAGGAAACTAACTTAAATAAGATTTCAAACAAGTTGATGTTGATGTAGCACTAGTATGCATGTTTTCCCTTTCCTCAACATATAATTATACCTTTCCCAATTTAAATAATTCTTAACTATCGAATAAGATTTAAATCAAGTTGACGTTTATGNCTATCGAATAAGATTTAAATCAAGTTGACGTTTATGCAGCACTAGCATGCGTGTTCTTCTTCCTCTTCCCTTTCCTCAACATATAATTGTACTCTTACCTTTCCCAATTTAAATAATCTTTAACTATCTTTCTAACGTGATTTCCGTGGAAATAAAAAAATCTACGTTGATGGAATAGTAACGTTAATAGACATCAATGCGGCGAAAATTCAAAAAAAAAAAAATTTGGAATAGGCAACTAGGCATAGAGGTACAAAGTTGATTAGGCTCATATTATTTTTGGCCAGTAAGCCGAATTCATTTGAATAAAGCTAAGTGTGCAATATTGATCGACAATCTAGTGTTAAAATCTTAACATGTGATGTAGAAAATAATTTTTTAAAATGGATGGATATGATGATATCGAATATGATGTTGTCAACTCATGTTGTATATGTAAAATGATTCATTATTTTTTTGTTACTTTCTTCAATTATTAGATTACAAAAGATCAAAGAGTCATGCTATATGTACACATTGATTTACACTCGTGTGTTGGCAGATTTGGGTATATTAATTTTAAAAATACATTTTTCAATTAATGATTAAATTTTTGACACATAAGAAGTGTCAACAAAAGTGTATACATTTGGGTGTGTAAGTAGACTTATTCAATATCAAAACAAGGGGAAATATCCAATCAGTTTTGTTATCGGTACATCAAGGTGTACATCGACGTGTACATCACACTCACATGGGGGTGGGACCCGCTTAACTAAAAAAATATTTTATACAAATGGGCCTCATCCCCATGTGAGTGTGATTGATTTAAATCAAGTTGACGTTTATGTAGCACTAACATGCGTGTTCTTCTTCCTCTTCCCTTTCCTCAACATATAATTGTACTCATACCTTTCCCAATTTAAATAATCTTTAACTATCTTTCTAACGTGATTTCCGTGGAAATAAAAAAATCTACATTGATGGAATAGTAACGTTAATAGACATCAATGCGGCGAAAATTCAAAAAAAAAAAAAAAAATTGGAATAGGCAACTAGGCATAGAGGTACAAAGTTGATTAGGCTCATATTATTTTTCGCCAGTAAACCGAATTCATTTGAATAAAGCTAAGTGTGCAATATTGATCAACAATCAAGTGTTAAAATCTTAACATGTGATGTAGAAAATAATTTTTTAAAATGGATGGATATGATGATACTGAATATGATGTTGTCAACTCATGTTGTATATGTAAAATGATTCATTATTTTTTTGTTGCTTCCTTCAATTATTAGATTACAAAAGATCAAAGAGTCATGCTATATGTACACCTTGATTTACACTCGTGTGTTGGCAGATTTGGGTACATTAATTTTAAAAATACATTTTTCAATTAATGATTAAATTTTTGACACATAAGAAGTGTCAACAAAAGTGTACACATTTGGGTGTGTAAGTAGACTTATTCAATATCTAAACAAGGGGAAATATCCAATATATCCGCAAAAAAATATTTTTTTGCACTCTTAATATTTTCCATGAATAAATTTGTATAGGAGGAAGGAAAATGGAGTTCCTTTCAAATTTAAATTTATATAATGACACTAAAAAAATAAAAATAAAATTATAATTAATATATCACAAGTCCAGAACGCACAAACCATGGTACTTCAGCACAAAAAAAAAAACACCAATTATCATAAACACAATTACGCAGTCATGATAGATACACACACAGATGTATATATAAGAATCGATCAAGACCTAACTCCGGCACTGCGTGACGGCGGAGCAACCCCGGTTATAGGGGTTAGCTTCAGCACCTGGACGGCAGTTGTAGTACGACGCGCCTCTCCTCGAGCACGGCACATTATTGGCTTGCAGAGCGCCATAGCTAATGTACTTGGTGGTTGCTAGAATGCGCCGATTGATTTCAGAATCCATTTCAAATTCACCTCCGTCGATGCAATCTGCTAGTGATCCACTGCACTGTGGTTTTACACCCATCCAGCTGAACTCGTTTTCTCCAGCGTTAACGGCGGGGATGAGCAGAGCCGCCACCATCACGGCGGAGATTATGAAGCAGCGAAAGAGGTAATTATGCATTGTTTGATGTTTGTCAATGGTTTCTTCGCAGGAGAATTTGGTAGTAAATAGAGCGGGCTGGAAAGGGGTTTATAAATTTAGTACTGATATTCTCTGAATTTACTAGGTTGCCACTCCACTTATTAATTTCTTATTTATAATATAACAATAATCTAATATCTATTAACCCCTCGTTTGGGCCACCTTTTTATCTCATTAAAATAAAAAATATGACCACTATCTATCACATCAACATTTAAATTCAAATTTTCTATATCTTGTGTGGACCACAATAACGGCTATATTTTTCATTCTCGTTCTACAATAAGGTGACTCAAACAGGGCCTTAAGATCTTGTTTGAGGGTGATTAAAATTCAATTAAAATTGAAAATATAATCGTTATTGGATATTATTCGTATAATAAAAGTCAACAATAACGGCTAGTTTTTCAATTTTAATATCTATCGAACACGTCCTAAATTTGAGATTAGCCATTAGATTTTTCGCTTCTAGACGATCAAAATATTTTTTTAGGTTAGAATCAATTGAAAAAGCTCGGAGGTTAGAAAATCACCAGTAAAAATGTATACGATGAAATTTGTTGAGAAGTCAAATGCTAGGCTGGACGTGAAAGCGAGCCGTGATTTGACTTTTCAACTCCCTCAAAAAAGAAAAAAAGTGCAATATCATCCCTAAATCATTGCATCCCAAAAGTATTTTCAATTTTTAAGTTCATTTCTAAATTTATTTTTTGATAGATCCAAAACTTATTGGAGTATGCAAACCATGGTCGAGCACAAAAATTGAAAATATTCGAGATAAGATTGGATTATATAATTACGAGATATTTTCTTTGTTTTTCGAAGTTTGGAAAACTGGAAATTGGTGAAAAAAATGCATCACCACCTGCTATTGCAGGTGGGGGAAACCTTTAAAAGTATTGATGTCCTAATTTTTTACCCAATTATTATAATAATTAATATTAAACCTACTACAAAGATTATGGATATTAATATAATCTTTAAATCAACTGGCTGCAGGCGGTGGTCTTATTATAATGCTTATTATGTAAAGAAGTTGAAATCCTCAATGCTTGAATCTTTCAAAAACTACCAAACAATTGACTTATTCGAAGATTAAACAATTAGAGATTAAGGGTTTAATTTTTATATATTTAAATATAATTTTTCATTTTATAATAATTATCTTTTGATGGGATTAGAAATGAACAAGATACCATCAACTGAATTGATGAATAACGTCATCACAAGTCAGAAAAGTCTCATCTCAACCAAGCGAGACAAGAGCTTGTTATCGATTTGAAAGAAAAATCATTGTTGTCGATAATCGATATAGCGTAGTTCAACAAAAATTTCCCGACTAGAGTAAAAGGAAGGTTTCGTTTGTGCAATTGTGTACAGTCCAATATATCAAACATATCACAGTTATAAGTGCTTGCGATATTCTCAAGTCAGTTAACAATGCATTTATTAGGTTCGAAACAGCTGGATTAATTTTATAGTTAATTGCATTATAGAGGAATTAGGTTTGAAATTTGTTAACATAAAAGAAATGTAGTGGGCTCACATGTTGTTTCAATTAGTATTAAATGACTAGAAAAAAGTCATCAATAAAGAAATTAATTTAATTAAATATATGTAAAACCTAAAAATACAGAAAATGGAAGTCGCGTCACATCAAACGACATCAATGATTCAACATTATTAATTATTAAATTAGGATACGAATAAACATTGATCCTTAAACAAATTCCTCTAATGTTAAACCTCCATATGTCACCAACTTTCTCGACTTTCAAGGACTTGACTAGCATTAACCTCCATATATGATCTTATAACTTAACAAAGACGGGTGTTTTTGGTAAACAATTGGCCGGATCTCATCACTATTTTGGATAAACAAATTGAAAGAAAGTTAACAATTACCTCTAGCCACGTTATTCAATATAAGAATAAAATATGCTATGGAACTTCAACCACCAACAGATCAACTAGCCAAAACCCACTTGATAACCACCAACATATGGATCATATCATAAAAGGTTACACCAATTTTACATGTCCTTATTTTATCGAGTAAAGCAGTGCCCAATTGCAATTGCATTAAGCATTCAATTTACGCATGAATGTGGAAGCATAAAAACTGTCAGAACTTGGAAGTACTGACTGGTTGAGTTGATTCAAGAGTCAAAATTCTTCAAGCACTCACATACAGTCCCTAATCCACCAAAAAACTAAAATGAGCTAGAGTAAATCGTCCGAGAAAGTCACAAAGAAAGCAAGAAACTGAGCCAGAAGAGCAGCCGGCACGATGAGCAGTCACAGCACGGCGAGATGGCCAAATGGGCGCTAAGAGATGAACGGAGGATTGAGGAACCGAAAAGTCAGTTTATGCTAAAATCACTATTGTGACCTTACTTTACAATTAAACCTCGTTTGGCTCCATTATTTCAAATTATAATTTTTGAAATAGTATTCATTTGGAGCACGTGTGATTATATTTTTATTTATTTATTTACGTGTAATATCTTTCTATATATAAAAAGTGTCTATTTAACGGAATTTGTTGGTTTAACGGAAAAACTAACGGAATTTGTTGTTTTAACGGATTATGTAACGGAATTTATTGTTTTAAACAGGCAGCTGCATCTTCTTTTAGTGTTTTTATCATAACTTTG